TGCCTTCAAGCGGGAACAATTAGCACCACATATGAATAAGATATTTGGGTCTCTACATGAAAAACGGCGTCATACTGTTGAAAATGGGGATTGTAGAAATGACATAATTAAAAAAGAAGCCTGCAAGATAATTGCTGATTCCACAGAGAGTAGAAAAGAGAGCAAAGAAGAGAAACAGGAAAAGAATGAAATGGAGAAATGTAAGGAAAGGGAAGTAATACGGGTGGGAGGGACTGATGGGGTAATAGAACAGGTGTATGTACCAACACCAGATTATACACCAGTGTCTACTTTGCCACGTGACCACCGTGAAGATAACTACTTGTCGGGCTTTACAGATGAAGAGGATTTCAGTTTTGACCTGGCTGACCTTGCTAAGTTCGTTCATGAACATATTACCAAGAATAAAACCCTGTATAGCGATCCTGGTAATGACCTCCTTCCCGATGGTTCTCGCATAGAAAACCCTACGGCCTTAGACGACGAGGGCGGCAGCGGCAATCCGAAACGGTGTGTGCGCTTCGACATGAGTAAGAACTTGGCTGATCTAACTGCTACATGGTCCGATCTCGAGAGTGTTATATTTGCCGACGAAAGCAGCGCCCTGATGGAGACCACCGAGAATGGGAAGCAAGAGAATGCTAGTCTTTTGTCTGCAGGAAAACTGCCTTTATCCCGTATGGAATCCTATAAAGACGACTGGCTGCTCTGGGAACAACTTGCAAAAATGAGACGTAGTAAGGTACCCGAAGACAGGGAGAGATGGGAAGTGGAGAAGACCAAGCGCATGTTGCTGTGGATCCATCTTTCCAACAACAACTACACACAATGGTGCTATAAAAGTCAATGGTGGAAGGTGAGTTGATACCAAGGTGGCTGTACGCAATTTTGTAAAGAAAGGCTCACTTGAAGGTCTTAGACCAGGTTGAGCATTCACAAAAAATTATTCATGCGTTGTCATCTCTTCTGTTCCTTATCATTCTGTCCATGGATTTATTATAGCCATTATCTGCATTTTACAATTTAATATAGTTGCATATAGGGCCATGACCTTTCATTAGTTTTGGATTTGTTTTGTGTAGTATGCTTGTTGATTTGATGGGCACGTTTATGGGTTATAGCCTACTTAAACACACTAATGTATGGATGTATGTATTTATTTGTTTAGTCATGTGCCTACCTCTGTTCATGTATGCATATACCCTTATAATTTTGTATAACTGATCAAATATACTTTTAGAATTATATCTTTGCATGGAAGTGTATATAAAAACGCATGTGCATTTCCATGTAAAGTATATATAGGCACGTGTATGTACATATCAGAAACTATGACATTAATTGATACAAGGACTCAAAGATGAGACTATTGTAATGGATGGGATGTGAAGGTGTTTTCATAAAATTGCGGTATAATGTGAATTTGATTTAAAAATTCATTCGATAACAGTGTTTGGATTGAAATATGCCCACAATAAGCATCATGGGTTATCCGTTTGTGTTAAGTAAAGTAATGAACTGTAACAAGACTTAGATGTTTTTAAATAATGGGACTCTCCGGTATGCGAATCTGGTCGGCATCATGGCTTCTGTTGTCCGCGTGGGAGGAGACGTGAATCTATAAGCGTTTTAAGCAGGGGAGCGCTTGGGCAAGAATTCTTGCCGATAGGCTAAGCGCTGTACCGTTCCCTGCTTAAAACGCTTTCCAAGGCAGGCAGGCCCTGTTCAGTGATGACAGACACGTGGAAGTGTCTTTTTATAAAGTACAAATCATAACTGTCCTTGATGAGCCATAGAAATATCAAAATAACACACAAAATATACATACTTGGGTTTTAAAAGCAATATTCCCACCAACAATCTCGGAAAGAGATAACTTATGCACAATTCGAGGGTGGAGTTTATTTCACTGGCGGTTGGTAACAGTTTTGAGCGCGCAGTTCAAAACAACTGACAAGCAGATATATGTAAAACACTTTTTATTCCCATAATCTCCATTATCTCCTTTCGTTTTTAGTTAATTTCAATTTCTTTTATTATGATTTTAAGAAAATTACAGAATCAGATACCGTGAAAAAAATATTTATGTGATAAGATATTAAGCGGAGTTCCTGGCCAACGCCCGCATTCGAAGGATCGTGACCAGTACGGTACGCGACCGACGCCGTTGCCATGGTGACGGTACACCGCTTGACTTAGCAAGCGCATGTCTAGCCGTCTACTGAGGTCGCTTGAGAAAGCAAGCGATATGCTTGAGTTAGTAAGAAAAACGGTTGAGATTTCAGGCAAGAACTTTCCCTGCTTAAAACGCCTTATGTTTGTTTAGGTGCCAGGTGATTGCATTGTCTTTCACTGTGACTAGAAATGTTTTTGGAAACCGCTACACCGACGGGTGTATGTAGTCGAGCGGAGAGAGACGATTGGCTTCCTCAGCTGGATGACGAAGCTTGAAAGCCTCATTGATATTTATCAACAGTATTACTTTCGAGGGCCAGAATCG